ACATTTCTTTAGTCAAAGCAGTTTTATAATATATTTTTCGATTGTGAGAGGGTTGAACTAATTGGTTCATTACCATGTGAGAATATCAGACAACATAGGCAGTTATTATACCACTACACATCTAGACGACACAGGAGACAATTTATTGACATGATGAAAATAGGCTTTTCTTCTGATATTTATTATACACATTCTGCTTGTAATCGTCATCCACATGGACGTCTCACGATTCACTCAACAGACTGAGTCACACTGGTCATATACACCCTTTCACCAAGACTAAGATTAACTCACACACACAATACACAGAAACCAGTTTCTACACAAAACGTCACTATCTTTCCTCATTATGTCATCATTATAACTTTCGCACCAACATCAACATACCTTGATTAACTACACATCATAACACTTTGCGTAGTGTGTCTTCAGTGGAATGATTAAACTAGATGAAAATGACGTTTATGTGAGATTAAAGTTACATGTTGACTGAATCGTTTGTCACATAGGTTGCAACAAAATGGCTTCTCACCAGAGTGAGTCCTCAAGTGTTTTTGTAGAGTACCTCTAGAAGCAGCTGAATAGTCACAAGAATTGCATGCGAAAGGCTTACTGTTCATGCGAACTCCCCTATGTTTTAATGAAGAACCTTTATCATTTGTTGTGTATTCACAATTTGAACACGTATACAGTAAATCCCTGGTGTGTATGCTTGTGTGAATTTTTAATTTACTTTTTCGTGCTAAAAGATTTCTCACACAACAAACATCTGAAAGGTCTGTACCTGAAATGTCTCTTTACAAAGTGCAGGTCATATTCATCTGGTAAGTTAAAGCCTCTGTCACAATGACTACATAATAATATGTAAAGCTGCAAAGGTGTGTGTGTCAGTTGACGGAACAAAAGGTGAGCTATAGAAACAAAACTTTTTTGGCAAATATCACAAGTTTGTACATTTTCAACACCATCAACTGATTGAAGGTTTAGATGAATCTTTTGATGCTGTTTTCGCCGACACAGATAAGGCGACGTGTGATTGCATATTTCTCACATTTGTGAATTGATTCTCCATTATGCAATCTAATTTAAGCTTTTAGGTATCGTTTATCTGCATAGCATTTTTCACAAAGTTCACATTTAAATGGATTTTACCTAAAATGCGTTGCTAAGTGTAGATCATATTCTTCTCCAATGTTAAAACTTTTATCACAGTGGCAACATATGTAACATTGCATTCGAGTGTGTACAATTTTATGAGAAGCCAAATGAGATAAGGATTTAAAACGTTTTGGGCAAATGTAACACAGAAATCTCAGCTGGAAACACGCTGCCTCTCTGTTTACCATTATTGTATAGTTCACAAGTTTTACAATTCTCCAGAGCACATTTACATTTTTGCCCAGTTAAATTGTGTAACTTTTGAGGTGCAATTGTTTTATTTTCCTGATGTAACTGCGATTTGTCACATGTTTTGAATTTATTGTGGTAAAGCTCAGCTGTCATTTCATTAGTTGATGATAAATTTTCTTTCTCCTTCAATATTGAGCATTGGACATTAACGTTTCCACAATTTGGAGAAGTTCATCTGTGATCTGTTGGGTATTTACATGAAGATATCACGGATTCATTTTTGAAGTTGTCCTTTTGTAAACCAGTAGCAATGTTTTCTTTATACAAAGCCACATGAACTTTCGTGTGATGTTTTTTCAGCTTACTCAATTTCCTGGTGGTATATGCACAAAACTCACAAGCCATCGTTTGGATGAAATTCCTTTTTATGTTTAGCAAACAACGGCTCCTCTGCAACTATAAAATCACAAAAAACAACAGCTTATAGCTTGCACGTCTTTGTGCTTTTTGTTCCAATGTTTTTGTAATCTTTCAAAAGATGAAAATGTTCTTGAACAGATGTCACAGTGACCTACTTGCTCTCTCATTTTCTAGTGTTCTATAACACTAGAGTTATTAAATTAATCAGAGGTATCCATTTGATCAGTTAGAGCTGAAAGATAAATATTTAATACTCTTTAATTATTTTAAATTAAAAATGTAATTAAAAATCTTGTAATATTAGTAATGATAGAAAATGTTAATGACAACTAAGGTTCTTCTAACAAATTAAATAAGAAATATTTCTGTAGGCCTGGCAAGGAAACGCAAATAATGACATTTTAACAAAAAGATTTTCTTTAGAGTTAGACAGTTGGCATTTTAAAATAGTTAGGCTCCATCACTAATCTAGATTTTTAGTAGTTACTTTCAGCTTAGAGGCTTGATGTACAGTTGGTTATTTATATTTTAATAATAAATAATTGCCTTATGTTAAATGTAAGTAATGGTTGGGCACAATTATGTTGTTATGCTATATGGTCGTTATTCAAAAAATAAATAAATTAATTTAAATAGTCTATTAAATATCAACTGTACATTTAAAATTATGCTTAATAGTTAAATTACTAATTGATTATTTAATACGAGCCGACTCGCGACGTATCATATGCCGCTATTTAGTTGTTTTATTTTCTACTTTTCAGTAATTCTTACTTTGTGAATTTGACAGTACCAATGCTGCCATTGAGAATATTTGCTTTAAAACACTAAAACCATTCTTCCCCCCCCCCCCTACCCCTCCACCTCTCCCCCATGAAAGCAGCCTCCTTAGCCTCCTTTTAGTTACCTCCTCTAAGTTTAAATTCGTTTTAAACTAAATTATCTGCCCCTTATACACAGAGGGAGATTGGGGGAAACACTGTCGCACTCTGCATTCACCTCAAATAGAAAACTTGCGACATACGTAAAAAAAAATCCCTAGAAATCGATAAGGTGATTAAATATGAATCAAAAACTGAGTTGAAAAATAGTTTCTTTTGATAAGGAGAACAGTTTACATGACACCTCATATTTACATTAAGGATTAAAAATGACACACCATTTTACAAAATAAAATGAAGGAATTTGAGGAAAAAAAGAGAAAAATTTGCTTGCTTTTTGCAAACGTTCTGAAGTCAAATCGCATTGAAATAAAAAAGCTAAAGACATAAGTTGCCAGTCGGAAAGCTTAAAATAAAAACCTGGTAGACGAAAACAGTACATTGAATAATAAGCTTTATACTGGGCACATTTTTTCCTATAATGCTCTTTTATCGAATAAATTAAGTTTAAAACCACAATAGAGTTATTTTTAAAAAAAACTGTATTCGGAAAAAAACCACTTGTTTAGTCATCATTTGAAGTTTTGGAAGTATACACAATAAATATTACAGTATTTTAAGCTTACTTATTTGTAAACAGGTAAGTCTGATAATCATACATTTAAAAATTGTAAATGAAATAGAAAACAAAAATCCGATTTTATTTAATTACTATTACTATACTGCTTAAACGTATTTTTGAACACATATTAGGATCATTTACCTAATTCATTTTAAATATTTAAATATGATATGACGGGAGCGGGGCATAGGATTAAAGCACAATACAAAACTGTGTATGCGTTTTGACCTTACCAAAATATAATAATGTGGAAATACAAACGTGGATTACATGTCTGACAAAAACACAACCTCGCATATCACGTGTTTGTTCTAATCAAATAAATTCAAAGTAATTATATTTTACTGTAAGACTGTGTTTCTAGCGAAAGAAAACTTCAACTGACGCACTCATTTGAACATTGCTCGCTCATCTGCACTAACATTTGATATAAATATTTTAAAAGAAGTTATATGTTCAATATATGCACATTAGAAAACTGAAGACTGTGTATATAGCAGTACATTCTATTTACAAACGGTACGTTGACACTCAGCATAGACTTGAGACCCATGCCAAATGTACACAAAAATACTAGTGCAACATCGAAAGCGATTGACAATTAATTTAAGATGCAGGTAAAAGCTGCTAATTATTTTTAACGTGATGCTGAGTATGTTATGCCTGAAGATACCCCTAAGAATGTGTATAAAGTAAACACGAAACATGCAGACAAGTTTTTGCTATTCTGTGTCTTGCTAACCAATGTTCATTGTAGTAACTATTTTGGTCAGCAAATCATTCTTGTGTAAAACCTGTTCTAAGAGTTTGATATCCACACTTGACAACGGCTTTAAGCATAATCTGTGGGTTATGCTTGTTACTGATTTATTGCAATAGTTATATGACTTATAACGTTAATTTTTGCAATATCGAAAAGATTTTGTAATCTGAAATTAAGTGTAATAGAGAAGCAAGGCATTAGTTCTTACATTTTTTAGAGTTTGGAGAGTTGGGGGGTTGGTGCGGGAATCATGCTGGCAATAAAATCTAATTTAAAGCAGTAGTGTCTATGTATAACAAGAATGAATGAATGAGACAACGCACACATTGGTGGTTAAGAATGTAATTCTAAAAATTTAAGACGATAGAAAACTTCAAAATCCTACTGTAAGTTGTATTTATTTTGTTGTTCCCTTTTGAAAGCTGAACTTGTTTGAATTAAAATCATGGTATTTAAAAAAAAACGAGAAATAAAAGCCAGGTTTATTTCAAAACGCTATATCGATAAATTAACAATAATAAAAAGACGCCATTGATTAAGAAAGTAATGAGATAAGTGAGAGATGAGAAATATGATTCACCTAAATATTCTAAATTCAAGAAATTCACTACTTCCCAATGATGAAATCTCTACATATTTGCATTTAAAATAGAGAATCGGTTTCAGATCACAATGACAAAAACTGATCATGTACTGTTTTGTAATTTTTGTAATCACTCAACACATGTAACATATATGAGACAATAATAGACGCCAACAACCACATGATCATCACCATCTACATTACATTGAAGTGAATTACAACGACAAATCCAACGACATACACTAGGCCCACTAATCCAATCACACATTATCTATCTTCCCTATATTTTTTTTAAAAATTATTTGAACAATTTGCATTCTGAAATAATTAAAAATACATTTATTAAAAGATAATTTATAATAATGTAGGTAAGCCTTACGACTATTTACTTTCAAGCATGTTTATTATCGTTTCGTTACAGCCAGCTTCATGTGCGTACATCAGAGCTGTTTTTCCTGTCCTGTCTTGTACAGAAGCATCAGCCTTGCTGTCTATGAGAAAATGTATCATTTTCTGTATCAGGGCTTTTTTATCTTTATCAATTGTACTACTGTAAAAATAAGATGATGATGTCTCAGATATGGTTTTAAAAAGTAAAACCGCAATGATTAGAGCCGTTTCTCCAGCGCCGTTAGTTGTGTTGACGTCAAGACCTAGTTCAACAAAATACTTGACCAGTTTAAACCTCGAGTTTCTTGTAGCTGTGTGCAGGGCTGTGACACCGTCATGATTAACATGAGCTAACTCGGCACCACTTTGAATGATAGATTCTGCTGTTTCTTCATTTTTCGATAAAATAAGCGGGGTATCACCAGTGTTGGACTTATCATTAATGTCAGCCCCAGCTTCTAACAGACATCGTAAAATTTCAACGTTTCCCATCTCAGCTGCAATGAGTATTGCTGATTCTCCCTTTGTGTTCTTTAAACTGATATCGCTTTTGACAGTGATTAACAGTTGAGCAATGATGTTAAACGACTTTTTAACGGCTATCATCAAAGCTGCTTCTTCGTTGTTGGTTTTAACATTAACATCTGCGCCTGCTTGGATGAGAGTTTTCAGATGATTTGTTCTTCCAAATTCAACAGCAACAAGCAGGCCTGTTTCGCCATGTTCGTTGCGTTGGTTCAGCAATTGGTTGAGGAAATCCGATTTCTTCGTTTTCTTTTCTGGGGGAAGGTCATCTGAGTTATCTTCAATATCTGTCTCAGTGTCTTTTTTGTAACAGTTTTAAAGCAACATAAGTATAAGATCTCTTTTTTCATACCTAACAATTTGGCATAAGAACAGACATGTTCAATTAATTTAAGTTTTGAAAGTAGTGTATATATTGTCTTATTAAATACTAATTTTAATGCGCTATTTAAATTTCGATGAATTTATTTGTGCGCATTAATTTTACCCAAGTCTTCTTCTTCTTCTTCGTTCTTAATTTTTAGTAGTGGAAGGGATCGAGCCTTACCTGCCAGAGGGTTTGAACTCGAGACGTTTTCGAATTTATCAGCCATGAGTTTTTGCCGACTCGACCACGCCTCCATCACAATTAAGGATACGTGTCAACTGGTTATGCGCCATTGAGGCCATTGACTCCGATTTCAGCATACTTTTCTGTTTGGATTTGCTTCCATAGCCTTTGTTAAACCAAGAACAAACTAAAGGGCAGGAGTTGTTTGATTTTGGAGTTGTCTCTCCTAGAAGAGTGGGTGTCCTAAGCTAAAGAGCCTTATCTATCCGATGGTTCGAACTCGAGACTTTTTGGTTTAGCAACCATGAGCTTTACCGACTCGACCACGCCGAGTATTAATATGTAAAAAGTATATACATATATAAATACAAGCTGTTGTAGTCTCAGGTTCGAATCCTTGGATCGAGACCGTAGCTCGTCCCATGGTAAACTAGCTCCGATGAGTACCAGACTCGTTTTATAGAAAGGGTATTGGCTGGTGGATAAGGTGCTGACCAAATTAACGCTTCATATGCTGAAATAAAAGAAACAGTAAACTCTTTTCTCCCACATAGACAGCCTTTCGAGAATGATACATTTTAATGTTATCATGATATGAGAAGTGAAGTTTTTTAAAAAATGGTTGATCCAAAAACATTTGTCACATAGAAAAGATAACTCATAAGGAATGAGTCTCACATAAATGGAATCGTTGTTTGAATTGCCAACAGTATTGATTGAACAGCATCAATTTCAGCGAAGTTCATCCCACAACAAACTATTTTCTTCGACGTCGATTTTTATAAAAATGACACATAAGTGTGAATACTTCCGAGGCTAAATTATCTTATCTTAGAATATTGAAAATATAAAATATGGTAAAAGCGTAAAAAATACACGGTGAACGCAATTTTAAAGTGGTTATAGCTGATAAATGTGACGTTATCGGCGTACTACTCAGAGGTTGAATCCATGATTGGAAATGTATCGCATACGAAATACTACATGATCTGTGGCATTATCAAAGTTCAGGTATTAATGTTGTTTAACTTCAATCAACACAATGGTTTACAAAAACGTGTAAAGGTAAACGTGGCTCATTTTAAATTTTCACTTTTTTTCCTTATTGTTCATGATTGAAGTTGAAAAGCAAAATAAAAAAGAAACTTGTAATTTTGTACATTAATTGTGTTACATTGCTTCATTTATTTTCTGATGGTCTACGTAATTTATCATTACATGAAAAATCTCTTTAATTGTCCTATTAGATTTTTTTAAGATATTATATCAGAAGCCAGCTTATGTTACATAGTTATCCCTCATAGTAGAAGAAAATATACTCACCTGAAAATAAATAGGTTAATACGCATTAATAAACACTAGCTTACACACATTATATTGATCCGTTTTAGATAGCTATTGTCAGCTTCGACAATGTCTTTGTGTGGTAATGTTCAGTCTGGCTTTCTTAAAATGGTTGTCATCTGTTACGCTGACAAAATATTATATAATACGATTCTGTTTAGAAACGTTGAAAGTCGTGGACAATTTTCAAAATAAAAAGTAATAAAATAGAGAGTTAAGTGTTTACAATAAACAAGTATCACTTTCACGTTTGACACCAGTGGGTTTTTTTCTAGATGTCTACACCACAGGCTGTAAATTGACAACATGTTCTAATATTGTATGGTTACAATGTAATATTAAGTTTTGAAAACACATGCATTGTTGAGATTTAACAAGAGTTAAGAACTGCCTTTTTTTTTTAAAGTAAAACAAATAGTGTTCAAACGTTACAAATGTAATTTATCGAAACTTTTAATTACTTAACCTAACATAAAACTATACAATTACAATAATATAAATTAGAGAGCGTTACTTATCGGTCAAATTAAGTTTTCTTTCCCTTTAAAAGATTGTTTTTAATCATAACAAAATCAACATGTTACAAGACAATTTGTCTGGACTTGTCGACCCGGACGTGCTGGACATTTTCCTCGCCATCAGCCTCGTGTTAGAGAGTCTCCTCAGCATCGTTGGTGTAGCCGGCAACATCATCAGCATCGTCGTCTTCAGCCAGCAGGGCTACAGGGAGACAACCAACATTTCCCTCACGGCTTTAGCGCTGAGCGACATAGGGGCTATCCTCACATTACAGCTCCGTAGCCTCATGCTTAACCCTTGGACTTTGAACTCTAAACTGATCTTTAACCCGGTAGATTTTTCTGTCATGTTTTCTACTTACCCCCACAACTACTTCATACGCGTAAGTGGGTTCATCACTGCTTACATCGCGTTAGAGCGGTGCTTGTGTGTGCTGATGCCTTTACAAATTAAAACATTCATAACAAGGAAGATAAGCTTCTCTTTCATGGTTGTATTTTATTTAGTTACGTTTTTAAATATTCTGCCAATTTACTTGGTAAATGATATTGGGTGGATTAAATCACCGGACACAAACACAACATTTCTGGGAATTATCTTTCGTCAAAATCGAGATGCTATTCTTTCGATTACTTATTTCATAACGGATCTAGCGGTTCCGTATTTTACATTTGCTATAATTATAGTATGCACATCTTTCACAGTGACGTCGCTTATGACGTCATCTACTTGGAGAAAATCTCTAGCAGGTGCGGAGTCAGACGCCAACAGCAAACGATACCGTAAGGAGAGAAAACTTATCTCTATGTTAACGGTGATTTCCGTTCTATTTATATGTTTTCAAATACCGCAGTCAGTGTTTCTTGCTGTGGTGGCTGTTATTCGCAAGTTGAGCGTTCGTGGAATGTACTTTGACATCACGGTCTGTTGCTACTGTGCTATTGTCTTGCTTGAGAACATCAACTCAGCCGTCAACCCGTTGGTGTATTACAAGATGAGTAAAAAATACAGGGACACGTGTAGGAAGATTTTCCTTAAATATTTGTCTAATTCCTTATGAATTTTTTAATTCAAGATTGAATAATTTCGTTTATACCTCAAAATTGTGTTCTGTTTTATTTTTATTTTTTTATGTTTATTTTCAAGGTAAAGTTTTTCATTTGTTTTTTTTTGTTATTATTTTATAGAGTAATATGGTTTACTCAAAATAGACTATTCACAGCTTAAAAAGTGGGAGGGAGGGGGGGGGGGGTGCAACACTGGTGCCTCTAGCCAAAGATGGACGTCGGCTAAATGGTTGCAACGAAATTCTTAACAATTACTTTAAAATATTCATTAAATCACCAAAAAATAACAGAATAATAGAGTAAAAAAAATTGCTTAACTATTTTTAAGAATACATAGAACCCATTTACTTAGGCTTGTATTGAATCATTTGTCGTACTGCCATTTCCTAAAGACATTTCTTAAAGACATTGCACAAAAGCTTAAAACCAACATATTTAAATAAAAACGTTTTAAATGAACGCTGTTGTGTAATAAAGCACTAAAAATAAGGGAGGAAAATTCTACATTTAGTTTTTAAAGTATTTTTAAGTATTTACCATTCGATAAATGATAAAGAAAAACCTTTATATACCATTTTCAGATTTAAAAACACTATTCTTCGGGCATTCAGACTTATTTACAATCGCAATATTAATTATGCACAGGTAATGCTTTGAATTCAGCATTTTACTTATAACATAATACACACTATACTCAAGCATATTTTTAAATGGTGCTTTTATTTGATGTTCTATGATATCTATGTTTACAGACGTTAGAACATGAAGACATTATTAACATGCTTTACAGGCGTTTATATCAAAGGCGTCGCTATGTCGGGTATCATCCGTGCGGGACTTCGTGTTGTCACCCCACTCCCAAAAGAAACAAGTTATATATATATATTTATATGTATGTATATCCCCTTGTAATATTTTTCGATTTGTACTTAAAAGACTATTGAACGTTAATTTTAATGGAACTGGCAAAAAAAGCATTTTTCTTCGGCACATTTTGCTTTTTTTGCTTTTGTGTCACCCCTCTAAATGGTTTCACCCAGTGCGGTCCACATCCCCCGCTTCGCCTTCGCTATGCCTCTTGTTTAGATAATCTTAAAGAACCCGAATTAAGCTAAGTAAAAACATGTCTCCAGAATTTTTAAATAAAGTATTTAAATATGAATAGTTAGTGCAGAAGTTATGACCTGTGGGTCGATGGATCAAAGCATAGATTATCGCTTGTTTAACCTTTTTATTTTAAGCCATCTTTAATTTGTCTAACGTAAGTTAGGTAACCAATAGAGCTTGGTGGACTCCGATACGCTGTACAGAATTTTAACCCAGTCATCTAAACTCCAAGCACATATTCTATATATTTTTTAGATATTTTATGTTTGCTTTTTGACAAAGACGTAAGAAAAAAAGAATATTTTCTTTAAATAAACAAATTGTTTCTTTATTAAACAGTCAGCGATTGTTTATCAATATAAATTATTTGTTAAATTATTTCAAACACTGGGTCATCTGTCACTGCGTTTGCGTTTTATTTTGTGTTTGTGTTTGTGTTTGAGTTTTTGTTTTGTTTTGTCTTTATGTTTGCGTTGTGTTTGAATTTGTATTTGCGTTTTTTTTTGTGCGTTTGCGCTTGTATTTTAGTTTTCTTTTGTGTTTGGTTTTTTTGTGTTTTACTTTCTTCTGTTCCATAGTTGGTAGGCCTACATTTAAAATCATTCACTGTGGCGGAGCAGGGTTAGTTTTCATATATCGGGCGTACATTTTTTAAAAACGCTTTAAATACTGTATTATTTTTATTTTATTTTCAAAACTTTAGTCTAATCGACGATGTGATAACACTGTTTCTAGCAATAGCGTTCCTAGGGGGGTGGGGGGCGGAAGCTCCCCCTATGGCCATTTTAAGGATGGTGGGGCTTTTTTGGAGAATAATTAAATAATATTTTAAACAAGTTCCGCAAAGCACAAAAAAACATCAACAACAATAGCAAACACAAACTGAAACTATGAATCAAAGAATTGAAAACTGCCATGTTATGTAGAATAAATATAATACTTTTAATAACTCACCGCATGTATATGCATAGCTTACTTCTTGGCTTACTTATCAGCGCCTAGCTCAGCGACAAGCATGTGCGAGGCGCTTTTTTGCCACATTGTCTGTCCACTTTAGCGCATGTAAATCTGCTGTTTGTGTTATGCCAGCTGCTTATAAAGCGTTAATCACATACAGATTTATCTTAACTCACAAATGTAGTTTTTGCTAGGGTTGTCAGGCTAAATTCAGCCATTCTTTATTACACGGGAGGCCCATTATCTTGGCGTTATTGTTTACCAATCATGTGCCACGTAGAATACGAGGTAAAAAGGATAAGTTCTCTAACATCTTTGTTGAAATTATCCTCTGCTTTTCACATAAATCACAAAGATTATATAAGCAATTGACACTGGTCCGTTTGAACGATTTACAGATTTTTCCCAGATATGCCGTGATTTTTTTGACATCCAAAGGCGTATATCTATGACCTCAAAAAATATCAAGAGGTGGGTCGTTCGACAAATGTTTTTTTTTCGATATATAGGTCATAATAAGAGAATTTCACTCTTGGTACCTTTTTAGCCCTCACCGTTCGAGCAGAGGTAGATCGAAATTTTATCCAAAAGGTATTTCATTTAATTTTAAAAGCTTTTAACTAACTTTATTTGTCGTGCGTTTCTTCATTTTACAAGCTTTATTAAACTTGCTTCACCCGTCTATCGGCCTATTTGTCGTAATAGTTCACAACTGCCGAGTGAAATTTTTATCGATTTCAAATGACCATTTCGTTTCAAATTTGCCACGTGTGTCAAGACCCAGTGACAATGTAATTTAACATCTAATTTACTTAATTAGATGCATATTGTCGTATCCAGTTGATTCCACACGAGTATATGCGCGTTATAAGCTTCATTGCTGCGCATTAGTTTTTAGTCATGCACTCTGTTGTATTGTAAATACTGAATGCACTAAAACGGAGAAAGTAAATGCTTTTCTTTAAATATTTAATAATACATTATTAATGAAATAACTACAAAGAAAAGCGTGGGTCTCTTCCTTCACATTAGTTGATGTGCGTAATAGATATTATAGTTACCACGATTTTTCTTTCTCTTTATTTATAATGTATTTGTTATTATATATTTATAGAAAATCCTTTAAGGCCTCCTAGTGCATTATTAAATAATAGCTTTTTTAGCTTTTAAGTAAAGTGTTTTGTATGCATTTTAAAAACAAAATGTTATATTTTTACATTAAGCTGGTGTGATTTCCACTAAACTTTCTCGTAAATCACATGTATTTGAAACTGGTGCCCTGTCAAAACGGCCCGGGAAAAATCGGCCCCGTCAAAACGGCCCCGTTAATTTGACCCCGTCAAATCGACCTCCGACTAAACGACCCAGTCAAAATAGCCCCGTCAAAAGGGCCCCGACTTATTGGCTCCCGTCAAATGGGCTCCCGTCATATTGACTTTCGACATATAGGCTCCCGACAAATGGGCTCCCGATATTTAGGCTCCCGAGAAATGGAATCCCGACATATTAACCCCTGACAAATAGGCTCAGGACATATTGGCTCCCGACAAAGCGGCTCCCGACATATTGGCTCCCGACATAAGGGCTCAAGACAAATGGGCTCCCGACATATTGGCTTTTGACAAAATGACACCCGTAATATTGGCTCCAGACCAATGAATGGCATGACCACTATTGGCATAAAAAGTAACCATTGTTTCCTACCTCCAATACCACTATAACCTCTTTTAAATACCCGAATGAAATTGTTTTTCATGAACCAACATTAATTCACAAACAAATCGAGCCCTTAACAGCAAAATTCCACCAATTCTAAAGTTTTGATAATGTTTAATTTACAACAGAAAAGATATGTTGCTTAAAAGCGAGCACAGAAGTGTAAATGTATGATATACATGATGTTTACACGATAACAGCATTTTGTTTTGATAACCTACAAGCATACTGCAGTTAGGAATATACAGCGTGGACCCTTCTCCCCATACACTGAGTTGGAACAGCTTATAACCGACTCAATTATGGATGTCATAGATAGATGACCCTTAAATTAAAACACACTATATTTTATAATAGATAAACTAATATAAAAATAAGGCCTTCCGAACAAGAAATGCATACGTTGTATTACATAAGAGTGTTGGATAAGCTAACTCTAAAGAATATTGATGAAGGGGTCCCACTGGCAGGTGTCATATTCAATGAGACCGCTTTGCCGGGAGACTTAGTCTCTACAGAAACGGTATTGTCAGTGCAGTGGCGTAGCTAGGATTTTTGGGCCCCTATACAAAATATCAGTGGGCCCCTTCGTCAGCCGTTAGGTCGGGTGTTACCCGGTGCGGCAATTCGTATTGTTACCCCCTCCCAGGAAACAAAGCATTTATATATATATATATATATATATATATATATATATATATATATATATATGTGTGTGTGTGTGTGTGTGTGTGTGTGTGTGTGTGTGTGTGTGTGTGTGTGTGTGTGTCGGCCTACATGGGCCTAAAATTTATATATATGCCACATACTGGTACACGTACGTGTTTAAGCTTTGATCACTGCAGACTTAATAGTAACGATGTTTATCTACAGTCTGTTTATAATACAGTTGGATGTAGCATTGTTTTCTTTATAGCATTGTTTTTCTTTATAGTTGACTTTTACGTCGTGGTGTCACCACCCCCCCCCCCCCCTCCTGATATAATTTTCGATTTTGTACTTAGAACACTATTTAACTTTAACTAACGCATCTGGAAAAATGGCATTTCATTCTATAACTTTTATGGTGTCACCCGTTGCGGTCCGCACCCCCCGCCCCGCCTTTTCTACGCCTCTGCGTTAGGCTACAGAGTAGTTAAACGAAGAGATCAACTTCTACATGCGATGGATATTTTTAATTTATAAATATTCTGAAGGCAACATTTTGTATTTTATATGTCCTGATTTTGTATTTATACTATATTATTATGTTTGCCTACTACTGCTAAAAAGTTTATTTATAGGCTGATTCTCTCAATGTCTTGCACGACAAAGGGATATCGCCTTTAGTGTTATTATAACGATTGGGCTCTGTTCGACCCACACACACACACACACACACACACACACTGAATCCCACTGCCGAAACGGTGGGGGAGTGGGATTTTTGGAACTTTTAACATTTTTCTTTTTTAAAATTATTTAAAATTCCATTGTAAAAGTTTAAATTTTTTATGAGGGAAAAGGGCCGCTATGTGCCTTGGGCCCCTATGTCTTGCTAGCTTTACGGTAGCTACGCCATTGTGTCAGTGGTTCTTTTGTCTGGAGCCAAATTGACAGCAGTGTTTCTTCCAGACTTTTTTCTCCGGGGGGGCACTTGAAATCTTCGGGGGGGGGGGGGCGGTAAACTTTCTTCGGGGGGGCGGACACTGTTAAAAGTATATATTTTCTATATAAATTATATAAATTTCATTTCGTTCGGGGGGGCGGTAAAAATTTTTCGGGGGGGCTTAGCCCCCCCGAAGAGATGCCTGGAAGAAACTCTGATTGATAGGAGCCTTTTTGTCGGGAGTCGTAATGACGGGGGCTGTTTTGTGGAAAAAACTAAATGACGGGAGCCTATATGTCGGGAGCCAAAATGACGGGAGCCTATTTGTCAGGAGCCTTATTGACTGGAGCCTTTTTGTCGGGAGCCTATATAACGGGAGCCTATTTGTCGGTAGCCTAAATGACGGGAGCCTATTTGTCGGGAGCCTATATGACGGGGTCCATATGTTGCTGGCCCTTTTGACGAGGTCTTTTTGACGGAGCTTATTTGTCGGGCCGATTTGTCGGGGTCGTTTTGACGGGGCCGTTTTGTCATTGGCCGTTTTGACGCCGCACGTTTGAAACTATATTTAAATCGCGTAAAAAAGTAGAATCTCGCACCAAACAAATAAAAACAATGTGTGTATAAGAGAGCGGAAAATTCTAAAAGGAAATTTTTGTTACATTTTTAAAAGGTTATTTACACTACTAGTTCAATTCAATAAAATATCACAATACATTGCCATCGATTTTAGACCTTCGTGAAACATTGTGAAGATATTAAGCCTGGAGAAGAGATCATTTTCAGAAAATGGAAAAACCGCAAAGTTTTATTTACTTTCAGCGGAAATCACTCAAAATTTGAAGGAATATCTCAAAAGTCGAAACAGAACTACACATTTTAGATAACACTTTTAGGTCTATATGTAATTTTGTTAACATAACTAAATCGGTAATCAAGTTATCGTGTTCACAGACACACAAACCGTTCAGATTGCAAAACAGTTTTTTTTTTGGATTTACATACAAACTTAAAATGCGTCACATTCTCTCTTTATTTTTATTTACTCGATTACAATATATTGTTAATATTCCTTATACGATAAATTAGCGAAGTGTAAAACGGCGAAATCTGTCTAAATTAATTAGATAAATTAAAAAAACAATATAGATTGTCTCATCAAATACTAATCTTAGGCACTATTGAAAATTCAGTGATTTAATTATGGCGCGCATTATTTCTAGCTAAGTGATTTTATTGCATTAAATATAAAATGCATATTACTGTATAAAAACAGGTAGTCTCGATTTCGAATCCTTGGATCGAGACCGTAGCTCGTCCCATGGTAAACTAGCTCCGATGTGTACCAAACTCGTTTTATAGAAAGGGTATGGACTGGAGGATAAGGTGCTGACCAAATTAACGCTTCATATGCTGAAATAAAAGAAACAGTAAACTCTTTTCTCCCACATAGACAAACTTTCGATAAGGATACATTTTAATTTATCATGAAGTGAGAAAAGAGGATTAAAAAAACATAACGCTGTTCGTTCTATGAAAATGTTTAAGATAGAAAAGATAACGCATAAGGAATGACTCACTCAGTCATTGAATCTTTGTTTGAATCACCAGCTCTATTGATCGAAGAGAATCGATTTCAGCGAAGCTTTTCCCACAACGACAGATTATCTTTGGAGTCAATTTTAACAAAAATTACACATAAGTGTGAGTACTTCCAAGGCTAAATTGTCTACTTATAGAATATTAAAATATAAAATATGGTAAAAGCGAAATAAAGACACGATGAAAGCAATTTTATAGTTGTAATAGCTGAAAAAGTGACTTTGACAGCGTATTGATCAGGAGTTAAATCATACGTGTCTCATAAGAAATACTACATAATCTGTGACATTATCAAAATTAGGATATTAGTTTAAATTCAGTCAACATGATGGTTTACAAAGACGTGTAAATGTTAAAGTAGCCCATTTTGGATATTTACCTAATAGTTTATTATTGCAGATGAAAAGCGAAATACAAAAGAAACATCTACTCTTGTTCAGAATTATACAGCTTTTCACTTTAATCTTCTTAAATTATTCGTTTTTTTCTGACACTCTTTGTATATTTAGGTTAGATGGCGAGTTTGTTTAAAGTTATGTTATGTTGTTAAAATATTATACCAGAAGTCAACAAATGATACATAGTTATCACATTAGTGGAATGAAATCAATCAATTACACAACATAAAAACGTCAAAAGTCGGTTAATACGCGGTAACAAACATTAGATTTCTCACATTATTTAAAATAATTCAGACACTAGAAATCATTCTATTTTTTGAGCTTTTGTCAGCTTTGACACTGTCTTTGTGTCTTATTGTTCAGGCTGGCTTTGTTAAAATGGCCCGTCTTCTGTCAAACTGACAAAATATTTTCTGACATGATATTGTTTAGATAACTTTGAGGTCGAGAATTTTTTTTTAAATAAAACAAAATAGAAAAAAAACAACAACAAGAGTTTAATGTTTGTAAGAAACAACTATCCTGTTTGACACTATAGGTTTTTTCAGAAGTGTATATCATACGCTTTAAATTGACAACATCTTAAAGTTGTTTAAAATAACGTATTGAGGCAAACTAATTTTAAATTTTGAGAATTCATGTATTTTAGATATTTAACTAGAGACTGAAACTGCATTTAAAAAAAAGAAAGCAAAATACTGTTCAAAAATCCCAATTCTATTTTGTTTAACTTGAAATTAATTAACCTAATATAAATGTATACGATTGAAACAATATAATTTATAGTGCGTGGCTAATGTTTTAAATTGTTTCCTTTTGCTTCAAATAATTGTTTATATTCATAACACAATAAGAATGTTTCAAGACACTTACTCTGGACTTATCAACCCTGACGTGCTTAATATTTTCCTCGCCATCAGCCTCGTGTTAGAGAGTCTCCTCAGCATCGTTGGTGTAGCCGGCAACATCATCAGCATCGTCGTCTTCAGCCAGCAGGGCTACAGGGAGACAACCAACATTTCCCTCACGGCTTTAGCGCTGAGCGACATAGGTGCCATCCTCACACTACAGACATATAGTATCATGAGCAACCCGTTTATGTTGAACGCTGACGTGAACTTTGACCCCGTGGATTTTACGTTAAACTATATTGGGTGGATTAAATCCCCGAATACCAACACAACTTTTCTTGGAATCATCTTTCGGCAGAATCGAGATGCTATTTTTGCGATATCGTATTTTATAACAGATCTAGCGGTTCCGTATTTTACATTTGCTATAATTATAGTGTGCACATCTTTTACAGTGACGTCGCTTATCACGTCATCGTCTTGGAGAAAATCTCTAGCAGGCGCGGCGTCAGACGTTAAGAGTAGAAGATACAGAAAGGAGAGGAAATTAATCCCCATGTTATCGGTAATTTCCGTGGTATTTATAGTGTGTCAGATTCCACAGTCTGTCCTATTGACTGTGACTACTGTTATTCGCAAGTTGACCATACGTGGGAAGTACTTTGATATATCTTCATGCTGTTACATTGTGATTGTCTTCATGGAGAACATCAACTCAGCCGTCAACCCGTTGGTGTATTACAAGATGAGTAAAAAATACAGGGACACCTGTCGGAAGCTCTTTAGAAAATATTTGTTTCATTGAATATAAATGTTTACTTCAGAAGTAAATAATTACGCGTGTACTTCAAAATTGTGTTCGAATGTTTTTATTTTTTTTTATTTTACGTTCTAACTAATGTGTATTCTAATAAACTGAACTCATTTTCAATGAAAGCTTATTCATTAAGGTTAGGTTAGGTTTGACTCTCGCCCCTCCTGGGACATAGGCCGCTGACATAAGCTTTCCAGGCGCGTCTTTCCTGGGCTAGTCTCTCCAACTGTCCCCAGGTGTATCCAGTCTTCTTGGTGTCTTCTTCCAGGTCACGTCTCCAGGTCTTTCTTGGTCTGCCACTCCTCCACCTGCCGTGTAAGCTTATCCACTTGTTATTTTTGTTATTTTTGTTTATATACGTGTAATATGGTTTACTCAAAATTGGGCTATTTACAGCGGGGGACGGGTGGGGTGGTGGGGAGTAGGTACACTGTTGGGGCCTCTAGCCAATAATGGATGTTTGCTAAATGGTTGCAATGGATTTCTCAACAAATTACTTTAAAATATTCATTAAAACACCAGAAAATAACAGAATAAGAGAGTAAAAATTTTAATAAATATTTTTTTTTAATTACCTAATAAAAACGTTTTAAATGCAAGCTTTTAATTAATAAAGCACTAAAAAATAAAAAAGAAAGTATATCTTCCAGAGTCTGAATACACAATTTCTCAGCCTTCTACACAAAATCTTGACCAAATGCTGACTAAATCGACTCGCTAGGTTCTTTATTCAGCTGTCTAATCCCAAATTCATCTCAAATGCTATATAAAACAGAAAAAGAAAGACACATATTATAAACCGTTTTACAATCCTTATCAACTATATTTCTCTCAATAAATTTCGAACCAGCCAAAAAATACAGCCATGAAAAACCAATCACCGCATGAACAAAAATAATTTCTTCAGTGCATTCTTTGAGCAGCCAGACAACATGTGGTCAATACATGGTCAAGTGGTTAGGTCATTAGCCTCGGCTACCAAGTCTTTTTTTCTTCTACAGAGCCCCTTTTCGTGGTTAATATTTTACTGTGTTTCATTTATAATATATACATATATATATATAAATATATATATATATATATATATATATATATATATATATATATATATATATATATATATATATATATATATATAATATTTAAAAAAAAACATTGTTCCTTTATTAAACAGCCAACGGGTGTTTAGCAATATAAATTATTTATTAAATTATTTTAAACACTGAGTCATCTGTCACTGCGTTTGAGTTTTCTTTTGTGTTTGTGTTTGAGTTTGTGTTGGTGCTTGCCTTTGCGTTGTATTTGCGTTTGTGTTTTGTTTTGTGTTTTTATTTACGTGTTTCGTTTGCTTTTTAATTTTGTGTTTTTTTACGTTGCGTTTGTATTTGCATTGTGTTTGAGTTTGCATTTTTTTTAAGTTTGTGTTGTGTTTAAGTTGTCGTTTTGCTTTGTGTTTGTGTTTTCGTTGTGTTTGAATTTTTATTTGCGTCTTGTTTGTGTTTGCGGTTGTGTTTGAGTTTTCTTTTTTGTTGCTTTTTTTTAGTTGTTTTGTACTGTTCCGTAGTTGTTACGTTTAAATAGATTCAATACGGATGAGCACGGGTAAGCAGTTACTTTTTTATGTACCGGCCGTACATTTTTCAGAAAACTCTACTCTGCCCCTACTCTACTCTGCCCCTTAACGCCGGATTTCTCAAATACGATTTTAGTATATGCGCATAGGTGTATTTATCCTACTGCTTCTGGTCGTTGTGTATTGGGTACACCCAGACGGTTGTATCGGTACCAATGATCACGTAGTCAAGTCGAAATATATGACGTCACACTCTCTTGACTCACGCACGTCGTAATTTACTACAAAAAATACTTACATCTGTATTATTTGTATTCACTCTTTTATGTTTATTAACAATGTAAATCACATATTATAATAATTTAGGAACTTATCATCAAATAATGGTTTGTCGCGTTTACGCGACATCCAGCAACAAAACATAAAATTATACTCGGGTGCCAAGCAGGTATAGCAAATTATGATGCCTCGCCAAGCTGTCATTTCTTCAAGTATGATTATAATTAAGTAAAGGATTTACAACAAAGTCTTCGCCTATATATAAAATACACTTTAGAACGTTACAATTCATACGGTAGATGAAGAAAAGTTCACCTGTTTCATTGATTTTGGCATTTAAATTTTAAATAGAGCGATGCTGAAATAATGTGGACATATAATGAATTTAGTATTGTAAAATTCGGGGAGAACATAAAAAAAAATATACAACAGGATGTGAGGTTGTGGACCACTATCCTGGATACCACCAAAGAAAGGTCTTCACAACGACCTTGACAATAATAACTCTGATCATAGACCTAAATCTCGTAATAAATACAGTAATGTTGAATAATTAAAAAAAAACTACCCATTGCAGTGTTATTGAATACCTACGTCAGTGGCATTATACTGAAATTTAGTACCGACAGCAGTGTTATTGAGTACCCACATATTCAGCACTGAGTACCAACATCAGTGAAGCTGAGCAACGACAGACTCTGCACTAAGTACCCACATTAGTCATACTGAATACCAACTGCTAAGGCTGAGTACCTAGAGCAATGTTATCGATTTCATGAATCTATACTTATTGTTTTCATGAATTTTACAAGTGAGTCTACATCTCTTTACATGTCCATATGTTTAATTTGTGATATTCTATTGTTTTTGTGTGGATATTTAGAAAAACACAACTCAGTAAAAATAGTAAAATGACCCGGAATAAAAAAAAATATTTAAATTATTATTTGGGCCGTGCCTGATGTCACGAATTCGCCACATACCTTAATTAGCATAAAAATAAGTCCAAATTTAAAAACAATTCAATGTGAGTATGATGAGAGAAAATCAACTAAAATAATCAACAAGAACAACAAACACAAATTAAAAATATGAAAGATAGTTATTGAATTGAAAACTGTATAAATGTTCTCCTACCAGTGAATTAAAATATATACGGGCAACACAAATAAAAAAAAGAGAATGAAAAAAAAGTGTAAAAATAGGGAATATCAATAGCTAGAAAATGGAGAATGGTGTGTTACTTTTATTTGATTATTAAATGAGAAGTGAAATAATTATATTTATTTTCTGTGTCTTATGTTTAAAATACTAATAATAAAAATGTCAGGTTTGATTAGAAAACCGTCAGCAGTACTAAATTCTAAATGTTGTTGCTTGTGAAGGTAATGTTTAATAAGACTTGAACGCACTGTGGTCATTTTATTTTACAAGCTTTTAACTTAGGTTATTCTTCGTTCGTCTCTTCTTTTTACCTGCTTTTTTTTAACCCTTTATCTACTGACGGTACTTATAAGTACCACTTAAATTAAGCGCCTGTATTATTTTTAATTTAAGACGAAGGTAGGTGGAGGGAACTATGTTTTATGAAAATTACTGGTGTGGCGCCATTTTCAATCTCTACCTGTATCGGTAGTTCACAATTGTTCTGTACATATATCACATGTATTCCTGATTTCCCCTTGTTTTACCTTATTCTTCACGTTTTCAAAACCGAGTATTTTTTATCGGCATCTTCAATAGTCAGGCAAATGCGTTTAACTTCTAGTTATACAATTTTTATCAAATTGTCTTTGTAATAGATCGATGTTTACAATTGGACTTATAAGTACCGTCAGGGCACACGGACATTTTTTTAGGATTTCTTGGAAATTGCTGATTTTCGATGTGGAGTGACATAAATATTATTTTGATAATTAATTATCGAAATGTACTTAAAAATATATATTTATGCATTTATAAGAAGGTTAGCAAAGGGTTTTCCTCAGAAATATTGTAATTAATTGCAGATTTCTAGTACTAAAAGAATAACAAGAATAGCGGTGGCAGTTGCAGGCACGTTTACTAGGTTTAGTATGCGTTATTTGTATACCAAAGTCTAGTTCTAGAAGTAAGATTTGTAAGTTATATTTGTTGCAAAAAACTGTCTGGCATACAATAGCTAGCGTGTACGTAATGTATGCATGTAGACAAGTAATAGTCCAAACATCTGCATGCAGTATAGATCGTTTTGTAATTTTGAATCAGTAAACACAAAACAGTAGTCCACTACGGCTATTCCAAACACATTGAGCTCACTTCTATTTATGAACTTTACACTGTAGTTTAGACTTGTCATAACATTCTAGTAGGCTACAATTATATTAGTATTACTTGTAGTAGTGTACTGAATGACTAGGATTTCGTTTTCAAAATATTTGTTTATGCGGCTCATTGTAATGGCTATTGGAAGCCTTCAGCAAAAGCAGGTTGTCACAACAGAAAGACGACAGACAAGAATTCTCATGAATGAGGAATGAGGGAGCATGACATGTCGACATCTTTTGCTGTGTTTGAGGTCTAAGATGTGTTCCGATAGAAAATCCAGTAAAATCGTACTCAAAATATACTTTTGTGCTCGGTTTATGTGTAAAAATTACAAAAAATGACTGTTATAATGATTGACATTTAATAAGTTGTATCGTTTTTTACTGTTTTGTAAATTTTTTTAATTTTTGGAAAAAATGTCCTACATTCCTGACGGTACTTATAAGTACCAGTACATGTTTGGGCCCTTAAAAATTATGAAACAAAATTTCCTTCGACATATGCTTTAAATGTGCCAAAAGCAATATGATAACACATTGTTTAAGAAAAAATGTCATTCGGAACCTAATTCCGTAAATAAAGGGTTAAACTTGCTTCATCCGTCTGCCTGTCTTTCTGTCGTTATAGATGAAACTGATGAGAGAAATTGTGAGTGTTTTCAAAAGACCAATTCCTTTCAAATTTGACACGTGTGTCAAGAACGGGTGACAATGCATTGTGACATTTAAATTAATTAGATGCATAATGTCGTATCCAGTCTATTACGCACTTGCATATGCGCGTTATTATCTTCGTTAGGTGCACAAAAATTTTTAGTCATGAACTCTGCTGT